TTATTATTATTATTATTATTATTATTATTATTATTATTATTATTATTATTATTATTATTTATTTGACTTGTCCCCGCCCATCTCCCCACAACGGGGGACTCTTGAGTGTCTTTGGTTTCCAAGTTGGGTCTACCTTGAAGGACTGACAGATACAGAAGATCTTTGTGTGAGCAGCTAGATACATGCTTTCCCATGAGCACTGCCAAGGCCATGAACGTTGGAAGGCTATTAGAAAGAAAATTAGAAAATCTGCACTCTATTTTATGGGGTGTGTGTTAGTTCTAAATGGGAAGGAGTTCCATTGTTGGAATTCTTTCACCTCCCTCCCTTTCCTCTCAATAAATCTGGTTAAAGAGAACTCTCTGAGAATTGTGCTTGGAAAAGTGTTCAGTTTTAGGCTCCCGCTCAGACCCTGGAAAGAACAGCCTTCGGAGTGAAACTGACCAAATTCAGTCAGCAGACGCATCCAAAGAAGGCAATTTTTTTGTAGCACAGCGTGTCTGCCAGCGAAGATCTGGTCTGACAAATTGAAGAAGAGAATCTGGCAGATTAGGAACGGCATGACTCCTTTCTCTCTGGCCTGGCTGTGTCTTGAGACAGTCCTGTTGGCTTTTTTGGCTCAGGATGATGGGAAGTGAAGTCCCACACCTCTGATGGGCACCGTGTTGGGAAAGCTGCCTCCAACGTAGAAAAGGTGCTGATGTGACACCCAGACTTTCCAATGCAGAGATGCTGCATTAAGTGGCAGAAAATAGGAATGGGTGTCTTGTAGATCTCTCTCTGTAACAGGCGAAGCTTCTGGGCCACAATGTATGTCACCCCTTCAAGGTAGGCCAAATCAGGAAACAGACACCAAAATAACTCTTAATTCATTGGTATAGGCTATAATAATCTTGAAAGCCTGAAATATTCCCCCTTTCCTCCCTCCTATACCGAAGAGAGTGAAGATGGAACAATCTTGACATTCTTTCTAACCCTTCCTGGTTTCCGTGGGCTATGTTCAAGTTTTGCTAATGGTCTGAGTTCAAGTTTTGCTAACAGTTGTTGCATATTTTCTCCAGGGTCACCTCAATGCTCCTTTACACCCTGCCCATTTTGGGTGGACAACCCTTGGTCCTCCCCGTGGGGCAGATAGACCCTCCGCCCTCCCTGATTTAGCTCAGAAAGGAATAGTATCCCCCACGAATTGTAACAACGTGACCTGTAGGTGACTTTCACGCAGGAAGAAAATGTGGCTGATGATGGTGGGATTTAAATTTCCTCCTTTTTCTTAGTTTTCTGCTTTTCTGCTTCTTTTTTCTGCCTTATCTCTTGGGGTGATTTTTGTCACGATAGGGAGTCCACTGCTAGAATATAAGGATGAATAATTTGTGTTTGCCTGGATGCATTTTCTGGCTCCTGATAATCGTTCAGACTGCCTTGAATTAATCATATAACAGAGAAGCCATTCTCTGTGGTTGCTAAGAGGGGCCTATACTTATTTATAACTGGGAACGTGCCTGCCTCTGCCTGATCTCGGCTGACTCTGAAAAAGCTACCCGTGGTCAGAACTCATTAGCAGCTGGATAGGAGACCACCAGGATGTCTCAGGGCCGAGGACCAGCTGGGTGTAATGGTATGTGGGAAAGACCTTGGGAAACAGGGCCAAAAGACCTTGAGCCTAGGGAATGGTCAGATAAGAGGGAGCATAACCCGTAGCTGGATAGTGGGTAGGGCAAGAGGCTCAGAAGGGACCCTCCCTAGTTTCTTGGGCTGTAAAGGAGATGGGAAGGGGGACTGTACTTTCAGATTGTAAGATTGATGTCAGCCTTCCCAGGTAGATCAGACAGGAAATATTACCAGATGCTAATTCTACTTTATTGTAAGGCTATGTTAACAGACACTTGCACGTCTGAAAGTACAAATCTCCCACCATCTCCTTTACAGCCCAAGAAACTAGGGAGGGTCCCTTCTGAGCCTCTTTTCCCATTATGCAGCTGTGGGCGATGCTCCCTCTTATCTGACTGTTCCCTAGGCAGCATTTCTTTGTCCCGTCTTTCAAGGTCTTTCTCACATACTGTTACATTGAGGAGGTTGAGGAAGCATCCAGAAGAAGGCTATGGCAATACCACTTCTGTATTGGTGCCAAGGGAGCTCGACTGATATATCCACAGAGTTACGTGGAGATGTGCTCAAATCGAAGGGGACTTTACTGTATCTGGGATCAGCAGGTAACAGAGAAAAAGCAAATCCTAACCCAACAGAGGTGTCTGGTACATTGACCAAGAAAAGAAGAATGCTATACCAAACAAGAAACTACAAGGAGATAGTCCTTCTCAGAGGTCTGCACTGCTCTCTTGTGGAGGGTGGTTGAAATGAGCCCACAAATCACGAGCCATTCATGGACCAAGGTACATCTCTTCTTCCCACACCCTTCTGTCCTTCAGACTGATTAGGTTAAAATCTCACCATCCCAAAATATGCTGAAGGGGAAGGATGGGGTTTGGAATCTGAAGCATCTGGAGAGCATCAGGTTGGGAAAAGCAAGCCTGATGCTCTTTTAGAAGACAATTCTCCAAGCGTGAGTTAGCCCCACCAGGCAGAAGACGGAGACATCAGGAATGGAAAGTTCCAAAGTAAAGGAAACCACTGTCTTGAAGGAGCCCTTCTCCTGAAATTGGAGGGATGGGCATTCAAGGACAACTAGTGAGAGCTGAGGTGCTTACCGAGCTCAGATTACCAATGGTTAGGGCTGGGGGCAGATGCCAAGGTCAGGGTAGAATTGGAGTGCCCTGGAGGAGAAGAATTGGAGAGAAGACTGTGCAGTTCCAAAAAGTGGTGTTCTCCTCCCAAAATTCCCACTTAGCTCTCATTTACAAGGTCATCCACTTGAACTACCTATTTTGTACCAGGTAAATCCTTTTTTTTTTTTTAATCTTCCAAGGTCTCTAGGCAATGAACTCAGTGAATGAGGTGTGCCCAGCCTTCATGTGATTGCCTTAGCGCTCAGGTTGTTATGCTTTTATTGACGATATTTTTAGAAACTTGGGACAGTGCTACAGATGGAGTCAGGCCATTGTTTTCATCTCATTCAACACCACCATAGTGGAATGTTTACAAGCCCTGATGGAGATGATATCAAGGACAGAAGTCAGGAACTTTCGGCGTGCAAGCTGTATATATGTGCACAATATTGCTTTGGCTCTGAGCCTTGTTTTTGGCAAAGTTCCCCTTGGAAAAATCATTTCAAAGCATGCACTACAGAAGAAATAAATAACAGTGAACACAGAAGGCCAGCTGTATAACAGGCAGCTCTGTAGAACTCAAAGATTTTCATTCCAGTAGCAGCTGATGGATCATCAATGATGAAATGGATTATTGAATGAATCAACCCAGAGTTCTCACCTGAGGGACAATGACCAGGCTCAAATTATCCTACTTTGGCCACATTATGTAAAGACTCAGCTCTCTGGAGAAGGCTCTGATGCTGGGAAAGATGGAAGAAAAGAGAAGAAGAGGATGATCAGCAGCAAGGTAGTTGGACTTAGTTACAGTGGCGATGGGGGCACTGTTGGAAGACTTGAAGGACCAGGTTGGGGACAGACCATCATAGAGAAAATCTATCTATGTGGTTGCCAAAGGTTGACACTGATTTAGTAATACCTAATCAGTCAATTAATCAATGGGAAGAAAGAGAAGAAGAGGATGGTCAGCAGCAAGGTGGATGAACTCAGTTACGGTGGTAATGGGGGCACCGTTGGAAGACCGGAAGGACCAGACTGGAGACAGATCATCATGGAGAAAATCTATCTGTGGGGTTGCTAAGAGTTGACACCAACTTGATGGCATGTAATCAATCAATCAGGGAACTCAAGGCCATTCAAAAAAAATCCCATTGTAATATAAGGAAAAACCTACACCAGAGCTAAATATCTAGCATCCTGTTGTCTTCTGTAAATGTTGACATGGGTACCAGGGGGAATAATGTGGACTGTGGCTTTTTTGATGAAAATCATGTATTTCCTAAGTAGCATCAGAAATATAAGGTGTTTTGGGGGGAATAATATATGATATAAAAAGAGAAGAATGTAAATGACCATGATGTCTAGTTGGCATTGTTAGATTCTCCAAACCCAGTGAAATAAGGTAAAATACATACCATGCTAGAAGAATTTGAAATTTTTTTGACTGCCAACTCTTGCCTTTTCGCATGAAGTCTTGGGAGACCAGATTTGGGAGACCAGAGTGGTCCTACTGTTGGTCCTATTGCTAGAATTAGATCAGGAGATCGGTGTAATCACTGACCAACCTCATCTTCATCTTGTAGAAGTGTATTTTTAGAAGATAGTTGGGTCTCATTTCTGTTTGCTTTACTCCAGCTTTACGTCTCTTCAGAAAGCCGTTTTAACACCTTGGCTGAGCTGGTCCACCACCACTCAACCGTTGCTGATGGGCTGATTATCACACTCCATTATCCTGCCCCGAAGCGGAACAAACCTACCATTTATGGTGTTTCTCCAAACTATGACAAGTGGGAGATCGAACGTACGGACATTACGATGAAGCACAAACTGGGTGGTGGTCAATACGGAGAGGTGTATGAAGGTGTCTGGAAGAAGTACAACCTTACGGTGGCTGTGAAAACCCTAAAGGTAAGGGCTGAAAATCTTAATTTTAAATCTCAAATTGCATTTGATCACTGCCACGCTTTATAAATTACCAGGCTTTTAGGAGGCTCCAAAACCAGTGGATTAAAAGATGTCTTTTATTTTTATTTTTTTTTGCCTAATGACTTTTGCTTCCTTTTTGAACAGGGTTTGAATTACTAGCAATTTTCTTTGGGCATTCTTTAGAAATCTATCTCATGAATTATGGATCTCAAGCTGTTTTCGTGGTTAAGGATTGTTAGGTTCTATTTTATTGTACACTTTCATACACTGCCCTGAGTCTTGTGTGAGAGCAACATAAAAATGTAATGAATTAAAAAAAAAATAGAGATTGTACAATTTGGGAGTCACGGACAGTCTTCCTAGAGGTTAGGAATTGCTTTGGTGCAGACGGTGTCCATATTTTAGAAAATTTTGAATGAATTGAGAGAGGAATATTTGAGCTCATTCAACCAATCAAAATGTTTTTTGGGGGAAAAAAGGAGGAGTTTTTTCCCAGTCCTTTTGATATTTGTTACGAAGACATGCATCTCTCTGCTTCTTTATCTTATTTTTCATCCATAAAACTGACTTAATTTCAAATGGATTTAGTTTTGGGTGGAACCTCAGGGTGGTGACTTCTTTAGTTGTAAGTTTATTTTTTGCTTGGTTTTGCCTTGAGAAAAAGACCCAACTTCTTCCAACTTCCTTCCTTCCTTCCTTCCTTCCTTCCTTCCTTCCTTCCTTCCTTCCTTCCTTCTTTTTTTAAACGATGGGGAGAGAGTGACATCTAGTGTTAATAGTCCTGGTCCTTAGATCATGCAAGAGAAGAAATGCTCCACACACTTTTGCATACCTAGGAGCAAACATCTGGGTACTTGAGATGGCAAACTTGAGATGAGTTTGGGTAACAGATGGGAAGGTGTGTGCCACAAATGATGTGTTATTATCATTTATTAAATTTATATGCTGCTGGACTCCTAGCGACTCTGGGCGTTCGTTACTTTGAAATCTAAGGCAGGGTGCTAAATGTTATTTTGCTTTAATGGTGGTTTGTTGAGTAAACTACAATGAGGTTTATATACCCCAAATGGGTATATAGACCTCAGTGACTGTGTTCATACAGCATATCAAGTCAACTCCAAACAGGCTGCAAAACAGGTTAGGGTGACTTGTGAACCTTGTTAACTAGATATGCTAGCTTTGGAAAGACCTTGATGGCTTGATTGCTTCCTTCCTTGCTTGTTTGCTTGATTATGTGCCACCAAGTCGGTGTTGACTCTTAGTGACCACATAGATTTTCTCCAGAATGATCCATCCCCAACCTGGTCCTTCAGGTCTTCTAACAGTGTCCCCATCACTGTTGTAACTGAGTCCCTCCACCTTGCTGCTGGTCATCCTCTTCTTCTCTTTCCTTCTACCTTTCCCAGCATTATAGACTTCCCTGGGGATTGTATGGATTGCCTGGGTAGAAATTGATTGATTGATTGATCAATTGATTATGTGCCATCAAGTCAGTGTCGACTCCTAGCAACCACAGATAGGTTTTCTCCAGGAGGATCTGTCCTCAGCCTGGTCCTTCAGGTCTTCTAACAGTGTCCCCATCACTGTTGTAACTGAGTCCCTCCACCTTGCTGCTGGTTGTCCTCTTCTAAGTCCTTCCACCTTTCTCAGCATTATGAACTTTTCTGGGGATTGTATCATCTGCCTGGATATAAATTGATTGATTGATGGCATGCCATCAAGTCAGTGTTCACTCTTAGAGACCACATAGATTTTCTCCAGGAGGATCCATCCCCAACCTGGTCCTTCAGGTCTTCTAACAGTGTCCCCATCACTGTTGTAACTGAGTCCCTCCACCTTGCTGCTGGGTGTCCTCTTCTA